ATAGAATAGAATGATTTTTATTCAATATGGATTATTACATAATACTTATTGAAAGTCATTATTTTATTTACCACTGGTTCGGAAAATACCTCTGTCCTGGGAAGAACCAGCAAGAAACCCAGCGGGACTTTTTTTTTTAAACATAATTTCACTTAACAATAATTTTGATTATACAATTTTAAATGAATTTTCATAGAACCAGCATGGTGGCGATCACCTTATTCCCAGGGGTTATTTTCATTCATGTATTCCTTGATATTATAATAACCCTTTTTGTACAGTTTTTCTTTAATAAAACTTTTAAACTTGTTTATTGACAAACTTTGAACATGTTCTGGGATTCTGTTGTAAAAGCGTATACATTGCCCCATAAATGAATTACTAATTCTGTGGAGTCTTGTAAGTGGCATTACAAGCTTATGTTTGTTCCTAGTGTTTAAGGTATGAACATCCTTATTCTTATTAAAGCTATTTATGTTTTTATGTACATACATTACATTTTCATAAATATATTGCGATGCCAAAGTTAATATGTTTATTTCTTTAAATTTTTCTCTAAGGGACTCTTTACAATTTAGATTATAAATCGCCCGTACGGCTCTCTTTTGCAAAACAAATATAGCTTCAATATCAGTCGCATTACCCCATAGCAAAATTCCATAAGACATTACGCTATGAAAGTAACTAAAATACACTAACCTAGCTGTCTCAACATCTGTGAGACTTCTAATCTTTCTTACAGCATATGCTGCAGAACTAAGTCTGCTTGCTAATTTAGATATATGGGGGCTCCATTGAAGTTTCGCGTCAATAGTAATACCGAGAAAAACAGTGGTATCCACAAGACTCAACTCCTCCCCATTTAAGAGCACATTGGTTTTCGAATGTTTTACATTAGGTATTGTAAATTTAATACATTTTGTCTTATTGCCGTTTAAGAGCAAATTGTTGGCGTTAAACCAATGTACTAGTTTCGATAGAGCATTATTTACATCGTCATATTTAATTGACTGCCGTTTCAGTTTGAAAATTAAAGAGGTATCGTCAGCAAATAATACTATATCGTGATTGTCCCCTACAAGATAAAGTAAGTCATTAATATAGATTAAGAACAGGAATGGGCCAAGAATCGAGCCCTGAGGAACGCCCATTGATACTACCGATCCGGAGGAACATTTACCATTAATGACGACTTTTTGAGTTCTGTTACTTAAATATGAAGTAATAAGTTTAAGCGCCAAATTTTTTACACCGTAATGTTGTAGTTTCCTGATTAATGTATCATGATGAACACAATCGAAAGCCTTGGAAAGGTCACAGAAAATACCTAAGGCATCTTGTGAATTCTCCCAGGCATTAAAAATATATTTCATAAGCTCAACACCGGCGTCAGACGTCGAGCGACCCCTTGTAAAACCAAATTGATTTTTATGAAGTAATTTATTTGTATTAAAAAAAAATTAACAATTGATCCAAAATTATTTTTTCAAAAATTTTACTGAGAGTTGGTAGTACAGAAATAGGTCTATAATTAGCGGGGTCCAATGTACTACCAGATTTAAATAAAGGTATTACTTTACTATACTTCATTAAATCAGGAAACACACCAGAATCGATACAAGTATTAAAAATAATAGCAAGATGAGGTGCAATTAAATCTATTATGGACGTAATCACTGTAACGGAAATCCCCCACAAATCTGCGGTTTTCTTTACATCAATGGTTTTGAAGTATTTTACAATATTATGCGGTAATACTTTTTCAAATCTAAATTCTTTTAAACAGGTATTAACATTCTGTTTAAGTAATGATTCGGCGACAGTTGGAGAAGCATTCAATGACTCTGTTGTCAAGATAGGAACATCAGTGAAATATTTCTCAAACACCGCTGCAACTTCTTGATTTGATTTAGTCAATTCATTATTAATTTTTAATTGATAGTTTGAATTACGAGGTTTCTCATTACCGGTTTCGCTGTTAATTATACTCCACGTCATTTTAATTTTATTCTTAGCTGTCTTAATTTTGTTACTAATATGTAATGATTTGGCTGTGGAGCAAACTCTTTTAAACATTTTAGAATAATTTTTTACATATTCTTTAAAAGCATCGGAAAGATTATACGATCTTTCATGGTAAAGGTCATATAACCTTCGTCTGCTTTTATGAATTCCTACTGTCGCCCACTCATTAAATGCCTTGCGACTGTTTCTGGAGAATGTTTTAGAAGTGAATGTTTTATTAAATTCATTGTTTATAAAGGTAAATAATTCTCTATATAAATAGTCTGCATTGTTCTTATAAGAAAGGGATGGAAGGATTTTTAACATATTACTTCTAAATCTCTCCAGGCGTTTTGCATTAATAGGAACAAACACAATTTTCTCATTTACCTGTTTTTTGTGCATATAAGGTAACGAAACCAGTTGTCCACAGTGATCTGAACTCTCTCTATCTGAATCAAATTAGTGCAATTACTTAAAAGTATTAACAAAAGTGCTACAATTACTTAAAGGTAAACTCCGCGTGCATATAACTTTATAAAAACATAAACTGAAAAAACAATAAGTAATTCCTCAACTAAAATTAAAAATATATCTATTAGTAAGAATAAGAATAGTGCTACATAAACTCATAAAATGTAAATAATAAAATTAAAAAAATATATATCTACTTTACTTTACGCTATTAACTTATACATTTACGGAGACACTTAGAGAATATTCTGGGTGAGTCAAAGTGAATGTCGACTTGATCGCTGTATCCATTAATAACTTTACAGAATCTGGCATATGGAGAATTCCTTCCCAATACAGTTCTTCTTAATGGTGAACTAAGTGGTGCAATAGAACTGCGGGGTACTCTCGAGGGTACACGAAATTTAAAAAGGTCCATTAAACTTGGGCAATTAAATGTAGAATTAAATATTTTATGTACAAAAACTGCATCATTATACTTTCTGCGACTTTCTAAGGTTTCCACATAAAAAAAATGTAATTTGCTATTATAGGACCGTAGCTTTTTTTGCTTTACCAATAGAAAATGCTAGATGCCAGACGAACCGCTTTTGAACACGTTCAACATGTAATGAATGTGTAGCATAGTGTGGTCTCCAGACCACACAACAATATTCTAAAATATTACGAACTAGACTATTGTAAAGAAATATGCCATCAAAAACATAATTTGTAAAAAAAAACCAAGTCTTGCAACTCAGTTCTTCTACCGTAAAAAGTTGTGAGATCCATGTAATACCAAGTCGGTTAATTTATTCAGTCCCTACTTAAGGGTCCTTCTGTCTTAAGTTATTACGTAATTACCTAACCTAAAAACATATTATAGTGACCATATCAATATTAAAAATCTTTTACGTTTATTAAATAAATTGACTTTGCCATCGTATGAAAACACAATGTATCTCTCAAGTAATACATATTATATTAAATTAGATTGTTTAGTGATTGTCATCGTTGTTGTAATTTTATTGTAATCATAATAAAAATCATTATCTGATTTGTCTTTATTATCTTAATCGTAATCGTAATTTTCATCGTCATCGTTATTGTCATCGTCATCGTAAGAATGATTGTTATGATTGACATTGTAATGTTTATCGTAGGTGCGTCACGTGGACTACGGCACGGTGGAGCGGACCGCGACGGCCGGGCTGCGTCCGCTGCTGCGGCGCTGGGCGCAGCTGCCGGCGCAGGCCGTGCGCGCGCGCCTCGCCGGCCTGCGCCCGCCCGCCGCCGGCCGCCGCTGGCCGCGCGCCGCCGCCGCCACGCTGCTGCGCGCCGTCGCGGACCGCCGCCTCGTCGCACAGCTCACCGCGCACTGCGTGAGTACACACGCACACACACGCACGTACACACGCACACACACGCACGTACACACGCACACACACCGGGCCGCGCCCGCCCGCCGCCGGCCGCCGCTGGCCGCGCGCCGCCGCCGCCACGCTGCTGCGCGCCGTCGCGGACCGCCGCCTCGTCGCACAGCTCACCGCGCACTGCGTGAGTACACACGCACACACACGCACGTACACACGCACACACACGCACGTACACACGCACACACACCGGGCCGCGCCCGCCCGCCGCCGGCCGCCGCTGGCCGCGCGCCGCCGCCGCCACGCTGCTGCGCGCCGTCGCGGACCGCCGCCTCGTCGCACAGCTCACCGCGCACTGCGTGAGTACACACGCACACACACGCACGTACACACGCACACACACGCACGTACACACGCACACACACCGGGCCGCGCCCGCCCGCCGCCGGCCGCCGCTGGCCGCGCGCCGCCGCCGCCACGCTGCTGCGCGCCGTCGCGGACCGCCGCCTCGTCGCACAGCTCACCGCGCACTGCGTGAGTACACACGCACACACACGCACGTACACACGCACACACACGCACGTACACACGCACACACACCGGGCCGCGCCCGCCCGCCGCCGGCCGCCGCTGGCCGCGCGCCGCCGCCGCCACGCTGCTGCGCGCCGTCGCGGACCGCCGCCTCGTCGCACAGCTCACCGCGCACTGCGTGAGTACACACGCACACACACGCACGTACACACGCACACACACGCACGTACACACGCACACACACCGGGCCGCGCCCGCCCGCCGCCGGCCGCCGCTGGCCGCGCGCCGCCGCCGCCACGCTGCTGCGCGCCGTCGCGGACCGCCGCCTCGTCGCACAGCTCACCGCGCACTGCGTGAGTACACACGCACACACACGCACGTACACACGCCGGCCTGCGCCCGCCCGCCACCACAAAACGCCAATTGACCCTTATTATCAGAATAATTCTCGTGCAACGTGATGCAATTCGTACGTGGTGGCTATCGTAACACTAATAACATTAATATACGCGTGGGTAACGTGTCTCTGTGGTATTCACTGACCTTTGTAATATTTTTGATACAAACTCGTAAATAATCTCTTACGACACTCACTCGTTGAATTTCAATTACACTTTATGTTTACGCTGCCTCCATGCCATGGGCTATATGAGTCCGTTTTATCCACAGGATGACATCTTGGAGGTGCTACTGATCGATACTAGTACCGATGAAGACATATGCATCAGCTCGGAACTGATTAAATCGGGCCACGCCGACCCGAGGCCCGATTCCTGCCTCGGGGTAAGTGAAAAACACTCTCATCTTGACTTCCAGTATCCATCTTCAACTCTAATATCCTCCTATAAATCAACACTCGAACACCGGTGTCCACAATTCCAACCGGCGCGACTCCTCGGCGATGTATCCAGCTCCAGTTCCAACTCCGAAGACGACCTTGACGTCCGCTCTTTGGTGACGACAATATCGCAATTCAAACGGCGGGACTTCGACACCTCAAGTGAAATATCGGCTTCCGCCAGCGAAGTGAGAGGTCCTCGCCGACTGGAAACGTGGGCATGTGACGATTCAACGGAGGTTAACGCCATGGAAAATATACACAACGCGCTAACAGACGACGTGACATACAGCAAGGTCCCATTTGAACAGGACATTGATGTCACGAGCGTGCTAGGCACAGAGTATAATAACAACGTCAAAATGACAGCAGACGTCAGTGATGTGACAAGTGACGTTGCAAGCGTAGTGACACATACGTCGCAACATTTGGCGCGAATCACTGCTCTGCATGCGAAATTACAAAATAAGTTTCAAATGAAGAAGGATATATCTGAAAAGGAAACATCATGCGACGTAAAAATTCCCGATAGTGTTGTTGTTAGTGTAAAAAGCCGCGTTTTACGTCGCAGGCTTGAGTTAGCTAAAAAATTTCAAAAATGACTTAAAAATTTGATCACTCCATATCTGCCGTTGTTAGAAAGTGAAGCTTAATTTTTATATTCTGCTAGCGATCTGCCCCGGCTTCGCACAGGTGATTTTTGTAACAGTAAGACCTACCTGGTCCAAATGTGAATCTAAACCATCTAGAGACCATTCAAACACACAAAAAATTTTATCAAAATCAATCGAGCCGTTTTTGAGTTTTAGCGAGACGAACGGATAGCAATTGATTTTTATATATAGATTTGAAATGTTCAATTAAAAGTTGTTGTTGTTTGTAACTCTCAGGCATGTCCCCAGGGACACTTCTTAGCAAGTTATAATTTGTAAATAACTCGTTGTAGAAGGAGAATCCGCCTTTTCTACCGTTACATATGGACTACAACATTTTCATGAAATCGTATCACAGGACCATTTTGTTTCTGTAGGTTATGGAAACTGGTATAAAAATTAAAAAAAAAAAGTAATTTTAGATTAGTTTTTTTTTCTTATTTATCAATAATGTTACATAAAATATACTTTTCGAAAATTGGACAAAGTTACGCGCTACATTGCATGTTGCTTCATTTCCTTATTTCTTATTTATAAGTGTTTATTTGTAAATAGATTTATCTAAATGTTTAGACGTCGGGGTTATATACTTAGATTCAACATCCATTTCTGGTATCTTCTCAAAAGGAACCTTTTAATTTAAAAAAATGTATGCATTTTAAAAATAACGCTTCCTCGAATTCTCGGTATATAACCTACGGGGTCTGAATAGTCAACCCGACTCATGTTCACACGACCTTGAGTTTTATTAAATCTGTATTAAGTCGTTAATCGGGTCGATTATTGCAGACGTCGGAGTGTTACCTGTACCCGAGGTTCGAGGCACTGGAAAACGGTGACACGCCCAACTACGCCGAGATCCACAGCTATCTACGCGACGGCATCGCGCTCGAGTTCGTGGAAGAATACCGGCGCCACGTGCCGTCTTGCTTGCCGCGCCCCGCCGACCCGCCCACTCCTCCTACGCCCCCCACACCTCCCACACGCCATATACCTCCCAACACGGACCACTCACCCCCCACCGCAACCTCCGCGTCAGCCGCGACGCCGATAAACGTTCAGAACCGCGTGCCGCTGTTCGCGTCAAGGTCCGAGTCGTCATGCGAGAGCGGCCCGAGCCCCGCCCTGCCCCGCCGCGCGGTCGCGCCGCTGCCCCGTCCCGCGCAGTATCCGCTAATTTCCCAAAATTCACAACATTCCCAACACCCATTACATACACAACATCCCCAACACCCACAACATCCCCAACACCCACAACCTCCCCAACACCCACAACATCCCCAACACCCTCAACATCCACAACACCCGCAACTTCCCCAACACTCACAACAACCCCAACACGCACAACGTTTCCAACACCCACAACATCCCCAACACCCACAACATTCTCAACACCCACAACATCCCCAGCTGCCACAAAATCTCCAACATCAACATTCTCAACATCCCCAACACTCACAACATCCCCAACACTCACAACATCCCCAACACTTACAACTTCCCCAACACTCACAACATCCCCAACATCAACACAGTCCACAATACCCGCAACAAACAGTTCGCTCTACGTCATATCACACGGTAAACTTTGCACCGCCCCCATCCAGTCAAACGTATGCTTCCCACCACTCCAATTCACAAGACTCTCTTTCTTACACCGACAACACTCCGAGGGGCGTCGCTCCACCTCAAATCCCCCACAACGTCATCCTCTCCGCGTCTGAATGCGAGATCTACTACCTCCTCAGCAAAGTGGACTCGAACGCGGCCCACCGGTACATGATGGACGCCATCAGCAGAGCCATGGCATCTATTTCTGTTTCTACGTCTCGTCTCAACCCCGAGGCGGCCGAGTTTCAAATGGTGGCCGCGCAAACGCAAACAGAAATCCCAGTCGAACAACTGATCACATTAAGTCCCGTTAACCAAAATAAAACTAAAACTGTGGAGCCGGCTGTTAGAAGGTTCATTGAGACTGTACAAACAGGACCGCAAACTTGTATTCGACCGCCGCCCGGCTTCGAAAATATGTAAACAAGACGCCATGTTTCTTGTTGCCTTTAACATTTCATTAAAAAGTAAATCAAAATGCGGACTATTAAAAGGTTCCTTGAGAGTGGACAATCAACACATAGAATACCGCTTGCAATTTTAAAATCGTCTAAAGACATTCCATTTAAATATATTTAGTAATATATTCACACATCTTTGTCTATGTCAACAGAATTCTATTTTTTTTTTGTTGTCCCTCTCACATAAGTAAATAGCCTTTAAAACTTGATTAAAAACTACCTCGAAGCATTTTTGATATAAACTTACAGTACATTATTATTTAGTTTAAGTTAGTCTTAAGAAATACTTTGAATTCAGTCACGTTTTGTAGCAACATGCATTTATTGTATAAGTAATTAATATGTCTGACACCCAATGCTTTACACCTCTTGTAATAATAAAATAAAAATAACTTTGAGCAGATCTTTTAATACAAAATTGGTGCTAAAATAATGTTGGGTATTTATAATTACATCAAAAATTGTATTAATATGACAATAGATAGCAATCCGTTCAATAGAATGAACGCAAAGAAAATTGTTATCAATATAATAAATCCCAATAAATAGAGGTAACATGGGAATAAAGATTTATGTTTGTTTACGAATTATTTTGCAACTATGAATCTCTGATTGATAATGGAAACTTATATTTTTGTTGTGTATCTTCACTTTCCTATAACCGCTGAAGATTTTCCTTCATCTGTAAGGTGTAACAGTTATTACTTTTGTATTTTTTTATTTAGGTGTAAGTCATTCTGTCTAATTTAGGTATTGTTGATTTTGTTATTAATTTGCTAGTCGTTAAGTATAAAGTTGCCGACTGTAGCTGCTTCTAAAATTTACTACAACTTCAGTTACATGAGTAAATATTTTTGTACCTACTTATAAGAGAAATGACATAACATTTGGATTGATTCTGTGATACGATAGAATAGATATTTGTAAGGCAATCACCGCAGTATTGTTCCTTTGAATAAATTCGTTGACAGTTAAAATTGTTTTTAATTGCTGCCCTTATTCTGTAGTTTGCTGACAAACACTTTTGCAAATTAGAAGTGTGGTTGCAGGTAGAATAACCATCGCCGTGATTTAATAATTTGACCAACAAATGGTAAAATTAAAAATTTTGTATAACCGACTTCAGTATAAATAAAATGAGAACATCATATTTAATTGACTTCGACTACATTGGTGTAGTCGAAGTCAATTAAATACGCATTATTACGGATAACTCAAAAACTACTGGTCAGATCTTATGTCATCGCAGTCCACAACCTTGAGACTGACAAACTGCACTTACCTAATCTTGGAAATGGGTATTTGTAGGCCTAGAAGTAGAAGTTGGTCTAGTTCGCAACATTTCGTGTTAAAAAATGATGGTAGTATTCACCCGTGTGGTGACTTCTGAGCGTTAAATGCAAAAGCCAAACCTGACAGATAACTAATTCCTCGCTTGCAAGATTTTACTTATTTGTTATCTGGTAAAAACATTTTTTCCCGGATTGACCTAGAACGAGCCTATCAAATTGCACAATTTTGGCAATTGCCACACTTTTCGTAGCATTTGAATTTATGAGGATGACTTTCGGTTTGCGGAATGCCGCCCTAACTTTCCAAAGATTAGAGAGAACTATGCAAAATACAGCTTTACAAGGATTAGATTTTTTGTTTTGTTACATCGATGCCCTCATCAATGCTAACGACGCGGAGGAAGAACATCGTGAGCACTTAAAAACAATTTTTGAACGTTTTACAGAATTTAGAATAACAATTAATTTGTTTATTTAAATTGTAAAAATGTAGTTTTGGTAAAAAAAAAATCATTTTTTGGATTATGAAGTTTCGACAAGGCATTACACCATTAATTGAAAAAGTAGAGACAATATTTAATTTCCCTAAACCGGAAACAGTTTGTCAATTACGAATATTCCTAGGAATGTTAATTTTTTATAGACAAAACATACCCATAAAATCATGCCATAATTTTCTTACGTGGTAGGGCCATGCTATATTAGTAGTATAGTTGTAGCACGAATGGGTCTGTTCGACCGGGGAAGGACCACGCTCTCACAGAAAACCAGCGTAAAATAGCAGCTTACCTCTGCTGTGTTTCGTATGGTGAGTGTAGAGAACCGGAGACCCTTTTCACTGGCAAAGAGGCATTCCATCTTAGTCCTCACGGGTGACGACGCATCTGCATTTTGATTCTTTATTGAGGATAAATGTAGATGTCTATGGGTCACAGCAACGACTTACCATCAGGTGGACTGTGTGCTCGTTTGTCACCCTGTCTCCTATATAAAAAAACATTTGAACACACACGTTGACATTGTCTGTCCGTTACCTACCACGGATGACGGATTTCGGTACTGTGTTACGATGATTGACAGGGCCAAGGGTTGGCCGTAAGCGATCCCAGTTAAGGATATTTCGGCCAAAACCGTCGCTAAAGTTGTGGAACGCGCGTTTTAGCTGTGCTGTTAAGCTTACTAGTGACTAGGGCCGCCAATTTAAAAGCAAAATTTTTAGCGCGTTATTAAAAAATTTAGGCGTAGAACGAATATGTACCGTCGCAGTCGCAAGGCATTTTATGAGTGGGCGACAGTAGGAATTCATAATCATCATCATTCATCATCATCATTACAGCCCTTCACAAGTCCACTGCTGAACATAGGCCACCCCAAAGAATGCCACAAAGCACGGTCCTGAGCCACCTGCATCCATCGACTTCCTGCATGTCTTACCAGGTCGTCACTCCATCTCGTGGGGGGACGCCCTACACTTCGCCTACCGGTACGAGGCTGCCACTCGAGAATCTTTCTTCCCCATCGGTTGTCGGTTCTACGAGCTATATGGCCGGCCCATTGCCACTTCAGCTTACTAATCCGTTGGGCTATGTCGGTTACTCTGGTTCTACTGCGGATATCCTCATTCCTAAGTTTATCACGCAGAGAAACTCCGAGCATAGCCCTCTCCATAGCTCGCTGAGCGACCTTGAGCTTCCTCATCCGGCCAGCAGTGAAGGACCACGTCTCAGTTACGTATGTCATCACTGGCAACACGCACTGGGTGTACAGTTTCGTTTTCAAGGTTTGAGGTATACCTGACGAGAAGATGTGCCGTAATTTCCCGAACGCTGCCCAACCGAGTTGAATCCGTCGATTGACCTCTCGGTCGAAGTTGGACCTTACCTAGTCGGACTATTTGTCCCAGGTAAACATACTCGTCAACAACTTCGAGCTTAGTGTTCCCAACAACTACCGGCATAGGTGTGACATGGACATTAAACATGATCTTAGTTTTGTCCATGTTCATCTTAAGACCTATCCGTTGGGAAACACTATTGAGGTCATTGAGCATAGTGCTTAGGTCCTCCAGCGATTCTGTCATAAGGACTATATCGTCGGCAAATCGAAGGTGAGTGATGTACTCGCCATTGATGTTGATACCGTATCCTTTCCAGTCCAGAAGCTAGAAAACGTCTTCCAATGCAGCGGTGAAGAGTTTCGGGGATATGACGTCACCCTGTCTTACACCTCTCTGCAATTGGATAGGTTTCGTACTCTGGTTCTGTACTCGGATAGTCATCGTAGCCCTACTGTACAAGCACTTCAACAATTCGATATACCGACATTCAACTTGGCACCGCTGAAGGGACTGCAGCACCGCCCAAATTTCGACGGAATCAAAGGCTTTCTCATAGTCCACATACGCCAGACATAGTGGCAAATTGTACTCTTCGGACTTCTGTACAATTTGCCGAAGGGTATGTATGTGGTCTATGGTGCTAAAGCCCCTTCGGAAACCGGCTTGTTCGGGAGGCTGGAAGTCGTCAAGTCTGCGCGCAAGACGATTCGTAATAACTCTCGAAAACAGCACGTAGACGCGGCTCAGAAGGGAAATCGGTCTGTAGTTCTTCAAGAGAGCGTTGTCACCTTTCTTGAAGAACAAGACCACCGCACTTCTGCTCCACGCCTCCGGTTTAATGCCACCATGGAGGACGGAATTAAAGAGCCTCTGAAGGACTTCAAGTACCGGTTTTCCACCCGCTTTCAGAAGCTCCGCTGTAATTCCATCCTCGCCTGGGGCCTTACCGTTTTTAAGGTGCTGGAGAGCCATTCTAATCTCGCTCAGACTGACGTCCGGGATATCTTCGGAATAGTGTCGGATGAGACTCGCTCTTGGATCGTTACTCACACTTGCGTGTGGCTCCAACGATGACGTGTACAACTGCCCATAGAACCTCTCAATCTCACTCAAAACCTCAGGTGTCCCGGAAACGATGCTGCCACATTCTATCTTCAGCTTTGACAGTTGGCTCTTTCTGGCAGACAGATCTCTGGCAAAGACTTTGCCAGACTTTTTCTTCAATACGAGCTGTATTGAAGTTGCGTAAGTCCCGCCGCATGCATTTGGAGATCTGTCTGTTCAGATGCCTGTATGCTGTCAAGTCTGTTGAAGAATGTAGCTTCATCTCCCGTCTAACAGCCATGAGATTAAGAGTGTGATCGGAGAGTTTTTGTGTTCTTCTGCGGCGGGTCTTGCAGAACTTAGCTCCGACCGCATGGACAGTTTCCACGAGCTTGTCATTCATATCGTCCACTTCATTGCAGTCTTCTAGGCACTGAAAACGGTTTTGTAACTCGAGCTGAAAGGTTTCGGGACTTTGGATTAGAGCACGAGGGGGACGGAGCGTTGACTTCATTAGACGAGACCTATCCAACTTAACGTTTAGTGTGCCTCTAACCATTCGGTGATCGCTACCAGTTTTCACCCTCGCGATCACGGAGACATCACTGAACAGTTGTCGTCTGGTCGTCATAATGAAGTCAATCTCATTTTTTGTCGAACCGTCGGGGCTCGACCAGGTCCACTTCCTGTGGTGCCGCTTCTGGAAGAAAGAGTTCATCATAAAGAGTCCCTCTTTCTCCATGAAGTCGGCCAGCTGCTGGCCCCTTGGGTTCCGTTGCCCTATTCCAA